AAGATCTCATGGACTGGGGCCTCTGCTAGACCTTCCCAGCACACCCTCACTACGCGTTTAGGTGCACTGGGTCTGTCCAGCGTCCTCCCCCGCCACCTGATCCAACTCACCACCAGGTGGTGATCAGTTGACAGCTCAGCCCCTCTCTTTACCCGAGTGTCCAGAACATATGGTCGCAGGTTTGGTGATACGATTACAAAATCGATCATCGACCTACGGCCTAGAGCGTCCTGGTGCCACGTGCACTTATGGACACTCTTATGTTCGAACAAGGTGTTCGTTATGGCCAAACTGTGATTTGCACAGAAGTCCAATAACAAAACACCGCTCGGGTTCAGTTCCTCCCAATCACGCCCCTCCAGGTCTCGCTGTCGTTACCCACGTGAGCATTAAAGTCTGTTGTCCTGCTGGGAGCACCTTCCAGCAGTCCGCCAGGGCCTCCGCTCCTGGCCGCCACCCAACACACAATGCACCTGACCCCTATGGCGCCTCCTGCAGGTGGTGGGCCTGCGGGAGGATTGGCCGAAAGGCCCGGCCACCAGACGCTCACCCTCGGGCACGCTCCCCGGGCCTGGCTCCAGGGCGGGGCCCCGGTAACCCTATCCTGGGCAGGGTAAACTGTTCCCTCGATGTTCTCTTCATAAGGGTCTTCTTAATCGCTCTTTGTCTGGTCCCTCACCCAGGACCAATTTGCCATGGGAGACCCTACCAGGGGGCAAAAGCCCCCAGACAACATAGCCCCTGGGATCCCTGGGACACACAAACCCCTCCACCACGATAAGGTAGCGATTCACGGAGAGGACTATCAGCTTCAGTTAACTCTAAATGCTCATTTAAAAACAGTGCATGGTGACACACTAAAAAGATGTAAATATTATCTAAAATTTTAACCTTCTCATCTTTACTTTGCAAAAATACGGAAGAAATGTGTCCTTGAGCTTATTCAACTGTACTTGTGTTACTTTGCAGTGTCTCAAATCACATGAAGCCCAGTCTGGAGCTTCTTTGATGCTCCATGTCTGAGTGGAAAGAAGTCACTGCTGTTTTGTTTTACATTTTCACCTTCTGCCCGTCTCTTCTCACTGCAGCTCAGTGTGCCTCCAGTTCTCCAGTCTCCCCAACAAACATAGTTTCTCCCCCTTCCTCGGCTGACTTTCCCATCTCCACCCACACCATGAAGGTGTGATTCTCACAAGGTGAGTCTCTATTAGCAGCACAACCTTTCCACCTGTCCTATTCAGAAGACCGTCTTCTTATATTACTCTCTGGTGCTGTTTTTGTGTGATATCTCCCAAATTATATGACTCTTTATAAGGATGTACGTTTTGAAAAGTCGTAGTTATGTTCACAATGTGGGCAAGTGTTCCCTCAGTAATATTACAGTCTGGATGCTTCTTTTATTAATTTACAACATCATAAGAAAAATGACATGGTTATACAGAAAAAGTATAACCATTTATTACCCACAATAAGCTATCTTTGCCTTTCTTATAATTTTCTTTTATTCCTCTTTTAGTTCAAGCCCTGGGCGCTGTTAAGGTTGATGGAGCATCTTTCTGAGGATTGACTCAAAAAACTGGAAAGTCTCAGAAAATGGAAAAAGAAAGACCAAATTTTTACAACGATATCATTTAAATGTGTCAAATTTAATTTCTGGGAGGTAATAACAATTTGAAATCCAAAAGAATGGGGTAAGACTCATGAACTCAAGACTCCTCCTGTTATATATGCACTGTAATGACAAAGGAACACTTCAGATTACTTAGCATACTTCTTTTTCTTTTAGCTCAGGATATATCCTACAAAGTAGAAATTACTGAAAAACTAACAAGGGAACATAGCATATAAGAAGCTCACGCTGAAGATCAACTATGAAAAAAGCTACAGAGAGTATGAAGAGAGACAGTTTCTAACAGTGTGATGTAAATGAATCTAAAGATGCATCTGGACCCTGAAAGCCAATGTTAAAGAACCAACCAGCCCAACTACTGGCCTGTGAAGCTCAGTGAGGAGTGTGGCTATGGATATTTATTCACACTGGTTGAAGCCTTTGGAAAGTTTTGTGTAACGGAATCACGTTTTCTTTACGGTCGGATGCTGTGTAAAATGCAAATAAAAACAGAATGTAATGATTTACAAACAAATTAATTACGTTTATGAAAACGGTACAAGAAAAACTATATATAATAAAAAGGAGAAATTGTTTTTGAAAAGAAAAAGCTCCCATGTTTGGTGTAATTCATTTCATAATGCACCAAATGTTTACAGTGAGTGAAGTAGGACCTGAAGTGGAGGCAGACCATTTTAGGACCTGGACATGTTATCAATGCTGATACAGTCCAAGGATTTGGCAGAAAAGCAGATGTGTGATTGAGAGCATGTTGCTGTATAAACTTGTACACATATCGTTGCATGTAAGTAAATTTACATTTGCCTTCACAGATGTTGAAAATATCGATACCATGCTGCACCCTCAAATTGTTAGTGATGCTGGTCTTGAAGCTGTGCACCAGTGACACGCAGCAGCTTTAAAATATGTTGCTGCTTTATGTCAACATTTGATATGGATCTTTTGTTTTTCTTTACATTTTATACAGCCTACCAAGAGCTGAACACAGATGCCGTGTAGTCATGTAACCTTCGCGGTGTTACAGGTTTGTCTCTGAGCACGATGTCCGGGACGCTGAAGAGACCTATAACCTGTGTACATTGAAATAGCCATCTGACTGGTGTGGGTACTGTACAGAAAAAATTGAGGGATGTTGAAAATTTATGTAGCTGAAATCTGGTGGAAACCAAGACAGGTTGTTACATATGAATGTAATTTAAATTGGACTCACATACGGGATTGCTAGTTCTATTTTTAAGAGACATGATTACCTCAACACAGACACATACTGCATTTGGTTAAATGGCTTTGCACTTAACATCAAATTCAGTAGGAGTTCCTCGACGACTTTTCCCTGTGATTGTGTCACGTTTTTAGGTATGTGGATTGTTTGTTTCTATAGATAATGATATGCTGTATATGGAATGGGACAATAGAAGTGACCTTAGAAGAGCAGTTTGGTAGTTTGTCATTTAAAAGATGTTCTCTTTTGTGAGGTATTATATACTGAAATACTGGCATTTCATCCAGTAATGCAGTGCCATAACATGTTCTTGTACTGTGTGTGTATATATATATATGTATATATATATATATATATATATATATATATATATAGTACAAAAAAATAGCTAAGTGCGCTCTGTGATACTTAAAACCTTCTAAGTATCATGTTACAATGGAAAGTAATCAGGTCCTCACCAGGTTTTAAAATGGGGCCAATACAAGAACAAAACTCATTACAAGAACGCATTTATTGCTTTTATTTGGATTACCAAGGTCAGTAATAGCCAGGTGCAATAGTACTTGATTAACTGATCCACAGCAAGTGTGACACCTCTATAATAGCAGAAGTGGTCTGGAGCATTCAGTCGTGCCATAGAAGAAAGACCGTTATCTTAGAGAAGCAACTATTGCTGCCGATCAGTCTGGGAAGAGTTATGAGGCCATTTTCTAACAATTTAAAGTAACCCCAAAGTCAGACCATGAAATGTTTAGAGAAATTGCTACAACTCTCAGTTAGCATGTTAGATGTTAAGGTTAATAACAGTACAATGAGAAAACAACGTTTATTTTCTCTAAAAACAAGATGGCAGCATGGCATAGTTTGCAAAGACTTCTGTAACAATTGCATTTGAACAGACAAGACCAGAGTGAAGATGTTTGGTCACAATGCACAGTACCAGACAAAGCATACTATGACCTCATAGGAGAGTAATCCTAAGCACATCAACAAGAAAGCAAAAAAACCCCACAAAACATTAATAATCTAATCAAATCTACAATAAGAAGGATATGAGTAGAACTGAGGCGTTATCATAGTCCACAGTTCAGACCCCAACTATTGTCCTCATGACAGGTGTCCATGAACAAATGTCTGCAAACCTCAATAAACTGAAGTGACTGTATAGAAGAGTACGGCAAGATGGCTCCACAAGTATGTGAAAGGTGATGAGAGGATACAAGCTACTGAATCATTGGATGTCATTAGTTTTTCACACACTGCTCATGCATTTTGTCTTTGTTAATTAAATCAATTATGACATAGTGTTAAACTTAATGTTCATCTCAAATTGTATTTACCTCATTTTAAAACCTGGTAAGAACTATACATAATTGTTTTATCATTCCCTTATAAAACCTTAGATTGATTTTCTTTTTACCATGACCTTAGGCTTTGCAAAATGTGCAGAAATGACTGCATTTGTTTGGTTGTTTGTTTTGTTGCTTGGTTTTGGGGTGTTTCACACATGGACCTGCAGAACTTTGATCCTCTTTGAAACCGTGCCCACAGTTAACGATACTATCACTGACTAGAGTATCAGAAGGACTAATAACTTTTTTTTTTGCTAATTTGTAAATACAAATATAAATACGCTGCACAAAAATGAAAGAAACACCTTTTTAATCAGAGAATAGCATGTAATGAGTGAAACTTTGAGGACATGCGCCATCTGCTCCAGCCTGTCAAACATAAACAATCTTTCCTTTTAAGTACTTAGGAAATCCTTGAATTTATAAAAACAAAACAAAACTAACAAAAAAAAAAAAAACCAAGAAAAAAAATCACTGTAATCAGTCATAATACTTTTTCTGACTATATAAATGCAGTAGACACATAAACTGTGATGTCTTAAGCCAAAAACACACCTTTGTTAAAAGTTACCAGTTTATGTTATAGACACACTGTATTAGATTCACACATGTACACCTCCCTGTTTGGTGTGTATTCGTTGTGCTTTTTGCCCTGAAACTCTGATTGTAAAGGGTCTGTGAACAGATTGTGTGACAATAGCCACAGAAAATGGAATTTGACACACAAATGATCACCGCTCACACAGTGCATGTAAGACAGGTGGACACATACAGTTAGCCCATAAATATTTGGACAGAGACAACTTTTTTTTAATACTGGCTCTGTACATTACAACAATGAGTTTTAAATGAAGCAACTCAAATGCAGTTGAAGTGCAGACTTTCAGCTTTTATTCAGTGGGTTGATCAAAAATAAATATGAGGAAGTAAAGCATGTTTTAACTCAACCCCTTCATTTAAATATTGTCTACCTTACCTTGCAAGCTGCTTTTAAAGCACCTTGAGGTAACTGTTACTGTGATTTGCTGCTGTATAAATAAAATCAAATAGAATTTCAGGGGAAAGTAATTGGACAAATTCAATAACTGAAAATAAAATGTCTGTTTCTAATACTTGGTTGAAAAGCCTTTCATGGCATTGACAGCCTGAAGTCTTGAACTCATGGTTCCCTCCTTTTTAATGCTCTGCCAGGCTTTACTTCAGTGACTTTCGGTTGATGTTTGTTTGCGGCCCCTTCTGAAGTTTAGTCTTCAACAACTTCAACAACACTCACTTAGTTTAAGATCAGGTGACTGCCTTGGCCATTCAAGAATATTCCACTTGCATTAATAAACTCCTGGGTTGCTCTGGCTGTATGTTTGGGTCATTGTCCATGTATTATGAAACAAGGCCCAATCAGTTTGACTGCATTTAGCTGGATTTAGCAGACAGTATGTCTCTGAACACCTCAGAATTCATTCAGCTGCTTCTGTCCTGTGTCACATCATCAATAAACACTAGTGTCCCAGTGCCACTTGTAGCCATGTACACCCAAGCCATCACACTGTATTTTACAGAGGATGTGGTTACTTGGACCATGAGCTGTTCCACTCCTTCTCCATACATTTCTTCTTGCCATCATTCTGGTAGAGGTTGATCTTGGTTTAATCTGTCTAATGAGTGTTTTTCCAGCACTGTGCAGGCTGTATTAGATGTTCACTTGGTTGGCTTTTGTGAATGGGTTTTTCTTCAGCATGGAAATGATTCTGCAATCACCCACCACTGTTGTCTTTGACGTCCAGGTCTTTTTGTGTTGCTGACTCCATCAGTGCTTTCTTTCTTACTGAGAATTTACCAAACTGTAGATTTTGCCATTCTTAATATTTCTCAGATGGATTTTTTTTCTGTTTTTGTAGCTTTAGGATGTCTTATTCCACCTTCATGTAGAGCTCTTTTCACCACGTTTTCTGTTCATAGCAAAATCTTCCAAATGCAAGCACCACGCCTCAAGTCAACTGCGGGCGTTTTATCTTAATTGATAATGACATAACAAAGGAACTGCCCACACATGCCAATGAAAGAACACTTTGAGTCAATTGTCCAATTACTTTTGGTACCTTTGGTTAAGAAGCTGAATCTCCTAAACCCTTCATCCAGTTTGAATGTGGATACCGTCAAATGACAGCTGCTGGACAACTTTAGAAAATACGAAATAGTGTGCAGATTTTGAACTTTGTTAGTTAATTGATTTGGTGGCAATGGAGGCGGCCTTCAATAGGAAAAGCTGTGAAATACAAAGTTCCTGTTTTTCCACTATGACAGTGCGTCCACAGTAAGAAAAACAGGGCATTCTCTGTGAATTAACAACAAATTTATGTTTGTAATTATAAAATTACAGCACAAGACCTTTCTGTAATTTTCCACATTTATCATGTAGTTTCACTGGAGGATCAGAAAATAATGATTTTTGTTTATTGGATTATTGGAGTCTGATGTATTCAGAAATCACATTCAAAAGCTAGTGTGTTGTATTTCATGCTAAATGTAGCTATCAGTAATATGACTAACATTTTTTTACAACATTCTGAGTTTAACATTTTTATATTTATTTTGGATCTTAAAATAGTGAAACTGCTTTAACTATGCAAATTATAGTAAAAGGAGACAAATGCTATTCACTTGCTTTGTAAATAAAGAAGCAATAAATAAAATAAAGTAAATGTATACACTTTTAACTAGATGCTTATGGTTTCATTACAGTATTTTGTATGATACACTGTGTATAATATATTTTATTGTTGTTATTTTAATTCATTTTATGATGGTATTCACTGCCATGAAGTCTACTGAGGAAAACTGTCCTGTCTGTATATCTGAATGAATAAAGGGCATAACCAAAGACAATTTGGACTCTTTGAGTTTGAACAGGCCGGTGTATTTGTGATCATCTTAATTTCTAGTAAACATAAAGACCCAATTAGACGATTGGTTACAGAGGTGGAAAAAGTACAGACATTCTGCAAGTTGAAGGACACATACTAGCACTGAAAATACTCCAGTAAAAGTTGAAGTACTGATTCAACTTCTTTACTCGAGTAAAAATAAAAAAGTAGAGGCTCTCAAAGTAAGGAAGTAAAAAGTAGCTCATTGGAGAATGTCCCTACACGCTATTTTTGTGCAGTGCTATATCAATTTAATAATACAATGAAATTAATAAATGGGTGTAAAAACTTTACTTCAGTTTAAATTTTTATTCTAATAAATGCACTCAGCTTGAAAAAGAAAATTTAAAAAAATGTCTGAGTGTCTCTAGTGTCTGAGGTTGACTTTGCCTCTAAACAAAAAAAAAATACAGTGATCAGCTAATCTGCACTACTGTTGCTGTGAGGTTTAGTGATCTTTGTGGATTTAAAACTAGATTTAACAAGAGGTAACCAGGTATTTTATGCATTGTCCTGCTCCATCCTCCACACTGACAGTACACTGTTTATGCTGTCTTATACTAGAGGTGGGCAGATCGATATTGTATAGTATTGATAGTATCGTTACCAACTCTGGTATTGGTATCGGGTCAATACTAGTGCGACAGGATCTATACTTTATTTCTGTCCTCTTAAGTTCAGTATCTGTATTGGTATGAGCAATACTGGCCCTGTATTTATTTGGTATTGGATAGATACCAAAATCTGTGCAATGCGCACAGCACTACTTTATACTAAACAGTATGAAGGTGAAGTTCAATCAATCAATTTAACCATCATCAGCTTAACTTCAAACTAATTTCTGCTACGCTTAATGTAACCTAACTCTGACCATGAGCACCACAGCCACTGTGCACCAGTCCAGCACGATGCTTTAATTTAAATCCATCACATTCCTGCAAGCTAACCAGTTAATCCTGCACTAAACTGCAGTTTTTTTCATGTAACCTTTTAATAGCAGCTAGTCTATTTTTGTTGTTTTTTTAGCACATGGCGTTCCATGTCACATGTGCACATGGAACGCCAGGACTGACATAATGAATTCGCTAAATACACCATTAAATAATTAATGAAATGTGGCATTAATTAATTAAAATTGTAAATAATTAATTAAATAAATATTTACGACACATTTAATTAATTAATTATTGACTCACACTAACCCATAATTTATTGACATAATTAATTAATAACACATTTAAATAATTATTGACAGTTTAAATTGATTATTTATTGATGCATTTATTTAATTCATTTTGGCACTATTGTCCCCTTCATGTCTCACCTTGAAATCATTTTATCTGTCAGCCGCACTCATCAAACTAAGTGGGCGGGGTTAACGCTCCCATTGCAGCTTCTCTAACATTTGATTGGTTGCCGTGCAAAGTAAATCAAGACAGGTCAATCCTAGATAATCGATTGCTTGTGTAGACTTGGGGCAGCCAGGTATCCCAGAATGCATTTCAAATCACAGGCAGCAGTGGTGGTGGTGTAAAGTTTTAAAATACCCCGTTTTTCTGTCACCAACTACACTTTTAATAGTGTTTTAGCCACGAATGTCGCGGCGTAATCTTCACATGTCTGGTCAGGTTGTCAACATAGAACATGTTTACAAAAGTGCTCAGATGTTTTCAGAGATGTCACTAGCTTTGCTAACAGTCAGCATGCAGAGTGCACCGAGCTCACAGCCCCGGTGTTCCAGCTTAACTGCTTTTTGGTTTTTTTTAGCTCAACAGGCCCTCAGTTCACCTGCATGCATCCTCCTCCTCACCTGTCAGCTGTTTAACACCTGACGCTAATTCAAGAAACGCGCCCACGTTACCTGGTGATAGTCACAGTTTAACTGGGCAGCTGGTGCTCGATATAACGCAATGTCGGCACATTTTTCTGCACAACATAAGTAAATATAGTTTTTCCCGAGCGCAGAGCTGCTGGAGCTTGTTTCCCAACAGAGCACTTCATAGGCGAGCCCACTTTATCAGCGGCTGATGTCCAATCAGCACACAGCTTTGAAACCTCACCTGAGTTTTAGCTCTCAGTGGTTAAACACTGGATTTAATTCAATCAGGTTTTGTCTGTCGGGTCACGTTTACTTTGCTGTTTTATTTACAGCTGAGCAAATTGGTTTGAGTGAGGTTAAAGTTACGTTTCATAACTGCACAGTTTTACTGAAGTTTAATGGTTCACTGGCACATGTGTTAGACTGAACCATTCGCTTTTCTTTATCTGGTGTGTTTTGGATTTAACAGTAAATTTTGAGATTAAACTGACTTTTAAAATGTTTTATACAAAGAGGAAAGAGAAGGCGCATTTCCACCGAGAGGAGCAGAGTTTGCAACAGCATGTTCATCATGAAGACTGTAACCTGCACAGAAATATTGCATCATCTGTTTTTTAATAGTTATTCAACTGTATTCTAAGCACCAGCTGTCTGTTAGAATTTTTAGAGTTTACTTAACTAAAAATAAACGAGGTTAACATACAATTTGTGTGATTTTTTTTTTTCTATTTTCTTTTTCGGTCATGTTATGTTTAACTGTCAAAGGCTTGTTAGAAACTATAAAACACATCGTGCAGACATCTGGATGTTAGAAGAAAACTAATACTGCTCATGAATGAGACTAAAGGCACTGTAGATTTTCACGTCTCTGGAATAGTTGTCAGTAATAAGGAGGATTTTCTGTAAAATCATATTGATATGATCCCTGAATTATTCGTAGATGACTGTTCGATTAGTTTGATACTGCCGACACTTTCATGGGACCAAGCTGGGAAACTCTGTGTTAAATCAGAGAGCAGAAGATATCGTGCTGATTCGTGGTGAGACCTGAAGGAGTCAATAGTGCCAAAATGAATTGAGTAAATACACCATTAAATAATTATTTAAATGTGTCAATAATTAATTAAAATGTGAAATAAATAAATAATTAATTAAATCTGTCAAAAAATATTTATTTAATTAATTATCTCCCATTTTAATTAATTATTTACAATTGTAATTAATTATTTAATGGTGTATTTAATTAATTCATTATGGCAGTCCTGGCATTCCATATATGCAGACCCAATATCTGATTTAAAAACGTGAGGACTTATATTTAAGCTTTAAATTGCCAGTTATCAAACACCAATGAGCAGTCCTTATCTTTAAATATAAATTCTCTTCTTCATCTCCTGTCCTGTCTTTACCTTTGTGAAAAACTGCTGGTATACCTTTAGCCAGCAGACAAACTGTAGGCCCAAACAGTTTGTGTTTGCTGAGCTGATAGAAACGCGAATTTAAAGTCACCTGCAACTTAAAAAACATGACTCCCTTTATGCTTCTCTTGCTACTCGTTTGTAGCACTACCTAGATGCTTTATATAAGTATGGTAACTGTAACGTATACACATCTGCACTTGTTTTGGTGTTGTGCCTAAAAACAAAACAACAACACCAACCAACTTTAACCCCTGTCTAGGGCACATGGTTTTGTCTCTTTAATCACTTTTGATGCAAAATGTCTTGACAATTAATACACAATTAATATTGTCTTCCAAGTGTTAATTTTTAGGCTCAAATCAGTTTGATGTACAAAGGCTAGCAGTGACATGAAAAAACTCTCCTCAGAGCCTATTTTGAAACTGTAGGGGGTAAAAAGTACAGACTTTTGGGATGCTGGTTTAGCTTAGTGCATTGAGCGGCTCAGCACATGCCATATGGTTGAGAGCGGCTGGCCCGAGTTTGAGTCTGACCCGCAGCTCTTTGCTGCATGTCTCGCCCCCTTCATCTGCCCCTACCTTCCTGTCCTCTCTTCACTGTATCTATCGAATAAAGTTGAAAAAGGCTCCCAAAAAATAGAGTACAGATATATTCTTTAAAATGTAGAGATTA